CCATGAGTGTTGCAGTCACATGGTTTGCAGCATCTGTATACTGTAATGGTATACAATACCGACAAGTTGATAAGTTTACATGTGCATCAGTTAGGTATCTCTATCCTGAAATGTTTTGCTCCAGGTTGAGTGACTGACCACCTCAAAACTACGTCTTCGAAGGTGATTACATCGTCTTGATATCTCTACTGCTTCTGCTGCCTCCTCTGTATTCGACTGAAGAAGCCTACTGTGTAGGCGAAACGTTTCGGAATAAAGATACCTACCTGATCCACATGAGTCGTACTTATCAATCTGGATTACTGTAGCTGGGGGCTCAGGAACTCACCACCACTAACATGGTCATAACTTGAATATGCTTTAGACAGATTTTCCTTCTTAAATGCTAATGTAATTCAGTGAGGGTTCCAAAGAGAAACTAATCATGATGTTGAAACAAATAGTGACAAAGAAATACTTCCTGTTATCCCCCAGCTCTCTCATATATGTTAACTGCTAAAGTTTTAGTCTGTAGCTTGAGACTACATGGATATGAATAACATATGAAGCACTTAAACTCTTACACGAGTATACGTGAATGATATAAAATGAACGAAGGTTAAGAGGGAGACTAAAGATGACATGGGAAGGTAGAATAAGGAAGAGTGAGAGCATGGAGAAGTGTTGTTGTTCTCAAGATCTGGAGAAAACTGCTTCGATGTATTGTTTCTATATTCTGACCTCCAACTGACGTCCTCTTCAGCAGATTATATAGTTGGATACAGCATAGTGTGGTAAATAATGTAAATATACTGTAGCTGTATTTTTTTTGTACAAATTTGCATTGGAAATGTACAGTAATTGTGTTGGCGTTTCTGAATAATGTCCAACAGTAAAAAGATTTCACTGTTTTATTTAAAAAGAGATTGTGTGTTAGCTAGTATGACAGGAAAACCATCTCAGGCAGTTTTTTTTTTTTTTTTTTGGGGGGGGGGGGGAATAAAATGCTTGTTGCTCTGACCAGGCATGATGCCATATATGGTAGATGAAGAAAGACACACATCGTGGTCTATCAAATTTTAATAATAAAACCAAACTTATCCATGAAGGCTGGCAAGGAAATTAACTGTTGCATTGTTTAATGATATGTCTCTTGCCCTGAGATTAAGTTAATGGCCTTCCTGCCAAGACTCATTATAATATATATATATATATATATATATATATATATATATATATATATATATATATATATATATATTATATATATATAATATATATAATATATATATAATATATATATATATATATTATATTATATATATATATATATATATATATATATAAATATATATATATATGATATATAATATATATAATTATACTATATATATTTTCAACATACCAGCCGTATCCCACCGAGGCAGGGTGGCCAAAAGAAAAACGAGTTTTCTTTTTAAATTAGTGTTTATGCAGAAGGAGTTACTGGGCCCTTGCTCCGGCATTTTAGTGCCTCTTACGTACACGCATGTATATATATATATATATATATATATATATATATATATATATATATATATATATAATATATATAACAAAAGTACCTGTTGTGTATATAACAAAACTGTGAAATCTCTCAATCAATATTTAATTTTATTCATGTTGACGTGAAAACACACGTTACTGAATAATAAACACATCCAATTTTAACATATTTATGGTAAGACTGTTGGTCAGCTGAGTCACTGGCTGAGGTGAGTCAACTCTTGGAGTTCTCATCAAAGTGAAATCCTCCTTGGATAAGTTTCTCATATATAGTAAAGTTGATACAAGAATAGAGATTGTCAGATGTTAGATATACATAGATAGTTAAGTGGGTAAATATTATGCTTATAACATACCACACATATACTTAAATTTACTATTAAAAATGGCACCTGGTTAAGGTTGTACATGTCTGTGACGTTAGTTCATTGAATGTATAATATTTTTTCTTTAGTTAGGCAATGATTAAATATTAAGTTTTATATAGTTATAATAGCCAAGAATAAATAAGATCGGACTTCAAATGGAATAATTAAGTGTTAAGTCTGAAAAAAATATGCTTTTTGCTCTAAGTCTTATTTTTTTAATTCTATTACAGCACTATATGATAAAATTATGTTAGTGGGATGTAAGATACTTTACATAGCAGTACAAGATGGAATGTTTAATATTTATGGAATACAAATTATACTCAACGCAATTATCCTCAAAATCACATTATACAAATACCTTACGGTAATCTATAATTTTGTGGAAGTTTTCAACTGGACACTGAGAGTAGTGTACATCCCTTGCGTTACTACTAGCTCTTGCCACACTCTATAAACAATAAGCTTTTCTCTTAAAATTGCTTTCACATGATACTATATACCAGTATGTGAAGTCTCATCTATTTTGTAAATGTAATAAATCTGCAGCTATCAGTTAATTCTAACCTAAGCTAACCTATACAAAGGCTTGCTTGCAGACAATGGTCAGCAGTATGCCAACATTCTGGATAGCAAATTGCTTATTAAAATGCTAGCATTGTGCCCCCGGTCAAGTTGAAACTCACGCCACTCGAGTTTATCACTAGCCAATAAGAAATCGTATATTATATATGGTTGGTTTATTATGCATAATGTTAGTATGTTAGGTAAAAGGATACATGTACAGCTACTGTGACATTTTATTGTGGTAACGTTTCGCTCTCCAGGAGCTTTGTCAAGCTTTTACAAGCAGCACAGTTCATGTAGGCTTGCCAGGACGGGTCCTGACCCGGGTCAGGACCCGTCCTGGCAAACCTGTATGAATATGAACTTGTTGAAGATTGGCACTACAGCTGGGAAATTCAGGAAACGTTCGCCACAATGGCAAACCTGAATTTGAATTGCAAGTGTCCATCTTCAACTTGTCGGTTAATAACTTGTATTTTTAACGGCTTGACAAAGCTCCTGGAGAGCGAAACGTTGCCACAATTAAATGTCACATTAGTTGCACATGTGTCCTTTTACTTAGCATATTGTCGGTAATTCTACCAACATTCTTACACTATGTTAGTAGTGGCTGAGTAGCAGTTATCTGTATTCACGAGGCTTCTCATATAATTCCATAGTTATAATTATATATAGTAATATATATATTTTGCATAGAATTATTATTTTTTCTACATTTTTTGTTTATGTGTCTACTTTCTAGTTCTATATGTGTACCTTTTATCTCATATAGAACACACTGAGTTGTTTCTACTCTTTGTTCATCCTTTTGTACCGACAATGGTATGAGAATATATACAAATGGGAACCAATAAGACACTTTTATGCAGTATTTAACCTTTATAAATGACAGAGTTGGGCTTGGTTTCAAGCTTGTAAGCCAAGCTTAAAGTCGTCATTTGCTAAGGTCCATACTGAATAAAAACATAAGAATACAGGAACACTTCAAGAGGCCTCTGGCCCTTGGTAGGTGGGTCTAACTCGCACCCATCCCCACCAACTCACACACCCATCCAACCCTGTTTTTTAGTTACCCAAAGTTCTCGCCCCAATGACAAATTGAATCGTATCTGCCACTTCTCTTGACCACAACTTCAACCTATCCAGGTCATCCTATATTTGATTAGTGTCCTCATCAGAAGTTATCTGACGGCTTATTTTAGTGTCATCGGTAAACGTACGTGTTACTATTTAATCCTTTATTTACGTCGTTTATATAGATTGTGAACGGGAAGGGTCCCAGAACTGACCCCTGTTGCATACTACTAGTAACGAGTCCCCATTCTGATTTCTCGCCATTTTTGCCAACTCTGTTGCCTGTCGGTCAGCCAAGCTTCGACCCAGGAGATAATTTCTCCTCCCATAACATGTGCTGCTACTTTTTTCACCAATCACCTTTCAAGGTGGTTTTAAATTGCATCTTCAGTTACTGATTCCATCAACTTCCCATAATTGAGGTGAAGCTGATTGGTCTATAATAATTTGAAGCTAAGGATGTCTCCCACTTTGTAAATAGTTATCACATTTGCCATTTTCCACTTATTCAGTACGATTACCTGTTTGTAGTGACTTGAAAAGACTGGCTGATATATTGCTAAGACCCTTCTTACATTCCTTAAGAACAGTTCATCAGAACACAGTGGCTTATTTGGCTTCAATCTATATAGTTGTTTGAGGATTATGTCACTAGTGACTGTGATCTTCCATAATTTATTCTTGTCCTAACCAACATAACTGAGTTCTGGGATTTCATTTGTATCTTCTTATATAAAAACCTGAGGAAATAAGTGTTGAAAATGATACATATCTTGTCACTAACATTAAGTTGACCTGAGTTACATTTAAGTAAGTCTATCTTTTCTCTTAATCTTAGTCCTTTATATACCTGCGGGAAACCGTTTGGGTTGCTTCTTTGATTCCCTCGTGACCTTAATTTCATATTCTCTTATGGCTTTCCTTATCCCACTATTGACTTCTCTCTTAAATTGAATATACTGGGCAGTAAGGTGACCGTCTTTCATTAGTCTATAAATGTTGTGCAGGAAAGGTATAAAATACCGACAATATGAAAGTTAAGACACATGTGCAACATCTGGATATCTTTATTGTAGACGTTTCGCCATCCAGTGGCTTTATCAATACAGATTCTAGGACATAATTAGCCTTGGAGTTATTGTGAACACTAACTCCAAGGCTGAGGGAATGATTACCTCATCTTTTGTATATAGTTCTGTCTTCTAATTATGTCCTAGAATCTGTATCGATAAAGCCACTGGATGGCGAAACGTCTACAATAAAGATATCCAGATGTAGCACTTGAGTCTATAAATGCCGGTCTCTTCACCCAGATGTTTTAATATCTTATCTATCCACTTCGAGTCACTGGAGTTTGATCTAAATTTGGAGTAGGAATATTGGGAAATTTGTAAAATGCTTTGGGGTAAAAAGTGTCTTGTTGGTTCCATTTCATCCTATTGACTGATTTTTTTTTTTTTGGGGGGGGGGGGGGGGGGGGGGGTGTAAGTATGTATGCATCTCATTTTTCCATCTCACCGCCTCTAAGCTCTTCTTTTCTTTCCTTGCTCTAGGCTAATATACCTTCATTTTCATTTCATATCACTGCAATTGTTATTTCTTTCTATTTTTCTTCTCAGGTTCTTGTCTTCTATTTTTTCTTCATCTTCTTCGCTAGTTCAAGTGCGAGTCTGTAAGCCAGCACCGGAGGTCTGTCGCGTCCAGTGGCCAGACTCTTGATCTGTAAGAGAAACAACAAAAAAAAAAACTGTCAGATAGCAATGCATCCCTTACAGGTGATGTGAAGCTGACCTATTAGGCTAGAGTACGTTAAGTAACCCTTATATTTAGTACAGGTGATGTGAAGCTGAACTATTAGGCTAGAGTACGTTACCCCTTAACTGTCCAAACGTAGATCTACGTTTGGACAGTTAAGGGGTTAAGCAAACATTATGTCACGTACAAGTGACGTAAGACTAGTATGCTAGGCTAGATAATGGTATGTAACTAAATATAATTGAGTTTATATATATGAAAGACAATTTTAAACTTAAAAAAAATATCATGTACTCGGCAAGAGTTGAAACAAGATGGGAAAATTTAACTCGACGATTGAATTCATGAAAGAAAACCGGGGTGTTGAAGAACCGACCTGAGAGGAAGTGACAATGAGGCCATTGTTAGCTATGGTGTGGTTCTTGGTGGCCTGAATGTCCTTGTCACACACACCTCTGGCTGCATCGTCTATAAGCATAGTTCTGTAGCCTTCCTCGATGGCATGCCTCGTTGTAGCCGCTGTAATGAGTCGTGTGTGTATTATGTAGCTGGGGGTTATGCCCTTCCATCTGGGCACAATTGTGGAGGTCAACACATTAACTCTTGTGTAGTATTTTAATAAGAGAAAATCAATGTACAATATTAATATTGCATTAACGTAGTGCATCAATATTACATCAATGTGCCGCATTTGTATTACATTCATGATCACATAACACCAACACATACACTAATGGCATGCATGCAGCACATTAAGAACATACCAACGCAGATGTCGTAAGCAATACCACAAATGAAGACGTCTGTGACATTCCTCTTTTGTAGTTCTTCATTCAAGGACGTGTGTGATATCTTATTGTTGTCCCAGAAAGCACTGTAGGAGTCGGTGTCTGGGTCTGTGCCCTTGTACACGAACACTGCGTCCTCAACAATCTGCCAGAGCAATTGGGAATTCTAAGGAGGAAATATCATTTGTGATGTAAATCTAAGGGCAGTATGAAGCTTAGAATGAAAGATAGAATAGATAAATGCATGGTACGTGTGGTTTCCTCAGAGATTTCGTCTCGAGATGAACTGAAAAAAAAATCAGTTGTAATCACTGAGATGGATAAGTTTAAAACTGAAAGGTAGACTGGTAACAACACTCCGGGTGATACTTTGAGGAACGGGTTGAGTTTAGTTGCCAGAGTAATGTTGTAGAGTATGGCAGCCACATATATACCTTGATTATTATTATTATTATATAAAAAAAGAAGCGCTAAACCACAAGGGCTATACAGAGCTGCATACATACCTTGAGGTCCTTGTGGAGCTCAGCACCCCAGGTATTCTGAACACAGTGTCGCGGCCACAGCTTCTGTTCCATCTGCTTGCCATCACCTCGGATGTCAAAGATGACTGTGTCGTACACCTTAGCCTCGTCGCTGGTGATCTGTCACAACATGACGATACATTTCCAAGTGCCAGGTAAGTAATGTTTTGTATAATTTGCTTATTTAGATTCGCCTTCATATTCGGTGACGAAGATAACTGATACACTTGGGTATTATAATCAGATATCTGGGAAGCTGGAGTTGATATTATGCCGAAAACAAACATTAAATTAATATATATATATTTTTATTTTTTTTATTTTGATGTAACTGGTTAAGAGATTTAGTACAGGACACGGATGGAGGGGATGGGTGAGTGATGAAGAAAGAAGACGGCAATACCTGGAAAGAAAATAGAGGATACGAAAGAGAATGATGGGATGAGGATGTGATGATGAGGAGCTGACCTTGCAGGACTCGTGTAGGAGGCGCTGGTGCACGTTGTCAATGAAGGACACGTGGTTCTCAGGGTGCCAGTCAAGGGAGTACACTACCATGTCGAACCGGTTTTCTTCTAGTACTCGATTAATGGGTGGGATCACCTGTAGTGCCAAGACCAATTGTAATATATAACAGAGACCAATATATATGGTGGAAAAAATTGCTAACATTTCCTTCCTTGGATCAACCCTGATTACTTAACATTCTTCAAGTACTGCATAACTCCTAACAACAAAAATAACAACAACAACAACAACAACAACGATAATAATAATAATAATAATAATAATAATAATAATAATAATAATAATAATAATAATAATAACTCAACACTAAGATTATCTACAATGCTGGCCCCCACACAGTGCAACTGGGAAATATTAATTACAGCAGATATATACAGCTGCAAAGTCCAAAAGGAAAACTGTTAAACATGACACATCCTCCACACTGCAGCGCCTCACTACTGCTCTTTACACTGGCTACAAGTGTACTTCTGGCCAATTGGTCGCTGACCAACGTGATCTTCACGGTCTAACTTGTGTAAGCTTGAGGGAATGTTACCTAGTGGGTTTGGGTTCGAGGAAAACTTGCCTAGCATGTGCTCCTTCTTATGTTCTTATGTCGTGAAGCCAATCTTATGGGAGAATGTTGAAGTTTGTAGAATAATATGAAATGTGCCAAGTCTGCACACTGCTTGCAAGGCAGTGAATGCAACACTGTGTCACAATGAATAAGACATATACGCAACAGTTTGGTATCTTTATTGTCGAAATGTATCGTCTGCTCAGTAAGCAGTTAAATGCAAAGGTGTAAATCTTGGAGGCAGCAAATGTGAATCATAGTGAATATGTTTTCCTTATTATGAGTGGGTCGTTATACCTTTGTAGGGAAACGGCCGGTGTACTAAAAAAAATGTTTTACCACAGCCTAGTGGAAATAAATGGTATAAAATACCGACACAGTATAATGTGATCCTTTATTGACAACGTTTCGCCCATACAGTGGGCTTTTTCAAGTCACAAACAGATCTGCCTGGGGTGGAAGGTACGCGAGTATTTATAGTCGGTTCAGAATGCTGTGGTCAGGTGGAGAATGCTGCATCTGATCATCCACCGAGTGGGGTTATAGAGTCTAATATCTTGCTGAAATTAGAATTAGATTTTGCCATCGAAGTGGCTAGTTTATTGTGCACCCCATATCCATCCTGTGGACGGTAGTGCAAGGACAGCTCGACCGTGCAATCCTCATATTCCTAGTAATCGCCTGGCAAACAACTAGTGTGAGATTGTATTACTGTACCAGCTGTGCTGACTGATGCTTACATCTCAGTGTTGGTCAGCAGGGTGGTGTTGCTGATCGTAGGGTTGCAGATATGCTGAGCAAATACTTTCAAGAGGTCTGGATCAACAAATACAAAACTTTACAAAGGCAATAACCAACAAGTACAGTATAGTAACTTGGAACAACAAGTACAGTATAGAAGTTTGGATCAACAAGTGCAGTATCTATAGAAGTTTGGATCAACAAGTGCAGTATAGAAGTTTGGATCAACAAGTGCAGTATAGAAGCTTGGATCAACAAGTACAGTATAGAAACTTGGATCAACAAGTACAGTATAGAAGCTTGGATCAACAAGTACAGTATAGTAACTTGGATCAGCAAGTACAGTATAGAAGCTTGGATCAGCAAGTACAATACAGAAGCTTGGATCAACAAGTACAATATAGTAACTTGGAACAACAAGTACAGTATAGAAGCTTGGATCAACAAGTACAGTATAGAAGCTTGGATCAACAAGTACAGTATAGAAGCTTGGATCAACAAGTACAGTATAGAAGCTTGGATCAACAAGTACAGTATAGAAGTTTGGATCAACAAGTACAGTATAGTAGCTTGGATCAACAAGTACAGTATAGAAGCTTGGATCAACAAGTACAGTATAGAAGCTTGGATCAACAAGTACAGTATAGTAACTTGGATCAGCAAGTACAGTATAGAAGCTTGGATCAGCAAGTACAGTATAGAAGTTTGGATCAACAAGTACAATATAGTAACCTGGAACAATAAGTACCTCTTTGGATGTAAACTTATCAAAAATGTCTGGACCTTGGAAAAAGGAGCCAGATGTGTCCTCAAAGGCGTGAGCTCCACAACCACCAGACTTACTGGAGAGTTGCGGGTGGTCACCGTCTTGCTCCACCGTGTGGTCATCCACAGGGGAAATACCTGCTGCATCCTGGGCTCCTGTCTGGCCCTCGGGTATCTGGATAAGATCCATAACTTAGAATGAATGTTGATGTACGGTGGCAGGTAATAACCTACGTGTTGGTCTGTATATTTCGACCTCCAACTGGGGCACTCTTCAGCAGATGTAATGTGATATATGGTTTTGAATATTCCTTTCATTGGCCAAAACTTCTCGTCCTCTTTCCTATATTTAACTGTAGTTTGTCACTAAATTTATAACATTAATAATAACCTACTATACCATTTTTTCAGTTTTCTGGATTTACTGAATTTAAGAACGCCATTATTTGCATACGGCACATATTAAGAATTATATGGTATAAATTTTGTTCAACTATGTTGCATTAATTAGAATATTAATTCCTAGAATATGTTGCCTGAATTTTTTCCTTCCTCTTGTCGATTTTATTTTGCTCGTAGCTCGCGAACTCCTCATCCGGTTACATTCAAACCTTGAACACCTGTGTACAGTAACGAGGACCAGACCCCAGGAAGACCTGATGTCCAGGTGACCAAAGTTATTGAACCCATTCCCAGCATCTTGGAATGGTTCAAATAACTTCCAAAATCCTCAGTAGCGGAGCATCAATATACAAACAGTTGTGTCTTAATACCACCATAATGGAGAGTGACAGTCAAGTTTGTTGCTACATCACTTACCATTTTGTATATCAAATTGTGTGAAATTTTGATTTGTTTAGTCATCACGATTGGTATATATGCGTCCACCTCTTCTGAACGGCTTTAATATTTAACAGATGATGCCTCTTATGACCAGGATAATACTATTAAATTAGTTTATGTGGGGAAAATTTGCCAAATCCGTAAAAAAAAATATTTTTAAAACTAGGAATCTGGATTTTTTATCAACTTATATTATCTGAATGCACATATTTTTTTTTCTTGAAGGACTGGTGAGAATTTTAAAACTAATATAACTGCAAAAAGGAACACTGAAGAATATAGAAAACTCGCATTATTATAGCGTTTTTAAAAATCCTGAGTTGACTGAACCCTTACATACTGCACGGCGTGATGCCAGAGCCGTCCATCTAGCAGCTACGACTGTCTCATACCATCTAAGGTTTTCATTTATAGCTTCAAAACGCCATATCCAATCACCTTCAAATTTCAAACTCTGGTCAACTACTGACAAACCTTACCTAACTTGTATGCCTTCATCACATCCATCCTTTATGCTCCAATAATTTTACTCACCTCAACTCTGTCCCTCATGTAGCAAATATATACACGTATACATTAGTACTTCCGCATGGCTATACATAGCTACTCAGACTAGCTTGTGCTGGTGCTAGTGGATGTGACTTTGACCTGACTACCTTGGGCCAGTAGGCCTGCTGCAGTGCTACTTCCAACTTGCTTCGCAACATGCCTCCTCTTCTGAAGCCAGAGTAACCTCATCAAAACAATGCTTACATAATTTGCATCGTAAATATATTTTCTAGGATATAAAACTTAAGAGTGTAGTTACCTCCTCTCCTTGTTGTCCCGCTGGACAGTTGCTGATAGCCAGGGAGCCGGAGATGAAGTCGTTCTGTACGTCCACGACCACCAGCGCTGTTACTGGTCGTACCACCTGCAACACAACACTCATCATTACCACTTAACACATGGGGGTCATCCTTAACAATACCACCACTACTACTACTGCAGTGCTACTGCTATACTGCCTGGAGTTTACCTGGAGAGAGTTCCGGGGGTCAACGCCCCCGCGGCCCGCGGCAGTAAGTAGGTACCTGGGTGCTAGCCGACTGCTGTGGGTGGCATCCTGGGGCAGGGATACTCAGTGAGGTAGGCTAGTTAGCATTAAGTAAAAATAGTCAGTGGTAATTAATGTTCCCTAGGTAATTAAGATAGTAATTAGGGTACTCACCTACTTGTGCAGTAGGTAATTAGGGCAATCACCTGCTTATCCAGTAGGTAATTATGAGAATAATTAGGGTATTCACCTGCTTGTCTATTAGGTAATTAGGGTATTCATCTGCTTGTCCAGTAGGAATGAGAGTAATTAGGGTACTCACCTGCTTGATCCATTTCTGCCAGCAGTAGCGGAACTCTTCCTTGTCTATTACGTGGTCCTGCAAGATAGATAGATAGATGCAATAATGTGAATTGTTGCAGACACGGTATTGTGTGGCTCTTAATATCACAGATTACGAAAAAGATTTAGTAGTTCTGGTTAGCAGTAATCTAAAACCAAGACAACAGTGCATAAGTGTTCGTAATAAAGCGAATAGAATTCTTGGCTTCATATCAAGAAGTATAAATAACAGGAGCCTTCAGGTTGTTCAACTCTATATGTCTTTGGTTAGGCCTCATTTAGATTATGCTGCACAGTTCTGGTCACCGTATTACAAAATGGACATAAATGCGCTGGAAATCTCACAAAGGAGGATGACAAAGGCGATCCCATGTATCAGAAATCTTTCCTGGAGGATAGACTGAGGCCCTGAATCTGCACTATAGAAAAGCGTAGAAGTAGGGGGGATATGACTGAGGTGTACAAATGAAAAACAGGAATAAATAAAAGGGATGATGCTAAAAGTATCTAACTAATTGGAAAAAAAATAGGTTTAAAAAAGGATATAGGAAAGCACCGGTTCGGTAATAGAGTTGTGGCTGAGTGGAACAAACTCCTGAGTAGCGCCACTGAAGCTAAAACGTTGTGCAGTTTTAAAAGTAGGTTAGATAAATACATGAGTGGGTGTGAGTTGGACCTGACTGACTTGTAGCAGTGGGGCTGATGCATTGTTCCTTCTTATGTTCTTATGGAGATGGTGATAATAATTTAGATAATGATTGTGAAGATGATGATAGTTGTCAAAATCACAAATCTTCCTTCCTTCCTTATTTTCTTCCTAACTCCTTCCCTCCCTGTGTCCTCTCCCTAATTTCCTCCTTCCCTCCTTTTCTCCTCAATTACCTCCCACCCTTCCTATCTCCTTCTCTTCTTCCCTATCTCCTGCCCTCCTCCCTGCCTGCCTGCCTGCCTGCCTGCCTGCCTGCCTTCCTCCCTGCCTGCCTTCCTTCCTCCCTCCCTTCCTTCCTTCCTTCCTTCCTTCCTTCCTGCCTGCCTGCCTGCCAGTACAGTGTCTCTCACTTTGGAGTTTCCTAACTTGTAACCTGACGCTGCTGGCTGGTAATTACGTACAATTACTATTATTAATTACGGTGTTAGTCTTAATTAAGAAGAATATATCAGAGGTAATGATGATTAACATGACGGTGAGAGACCGTTGGAGGTTGTGAGAGACTGTTGGAGACTGTGGGAGACTGTGAGAGACTGTGGGAGATTGGGAGTGACAATAGGAGACACGAAATTGTTGGAACCACTGTCACCATCACCAGTAGCACCACCATCATCACCACCACCACCACCACCACCATCACCACCACCATCATCATCACCACCACCACCACCACCAAACTACCACCACCATCATCACCACCACCACAACCATCACACCACCACCATTATCACCATCACCACCACCACCATCACCACTACCACCACCATCATCACCACCACCATCACCACTACCACCATCCACCACCACCATCACCACTTACCTTGTTAGTGTCAAAGATAGTGAAGATAGTGTCCAGCATGGCGGTGTCGACTGGGTAAGGTTTACCTCGCTCGTTCCTGAAGAGTGCTCGACACAGCGCTGCGAACTCATTCTGGCTCAGGAACCCGTCCCTGGAAAAGTGAAACATCACACACACAAAACATTAATAAAACACACACCAAAATCTTAGAAAAACAAGAGTTTTAAATTACTACCTGACTGGCTTCTGCCAGTAGGTGACTTGGACCTGCCTACCATGGGCCAGTAGGTTTTCTGCAGTGCTTAAGTTAAAATGGTTGGACGGTTTTATAGTTTTAGAAAACAAGACAAAAGTTGTTTAAAAGTTCAGATTGATTTAGATTTTGAAACCGAAGCGGCTGGTTTATTGTATACCCCAAGTCCATCCTATGGATGGTAATGGCTAGTTTATTGTACACACCATGTCTATCCTATGGATGATAATGGCTAGTTTATTGTACACACCATGTCCATCCTATGGATGGTAATGGCTAGTTTATTGTACACACCATGTCCATCCTATGGATGGTAATGGCTAGTTTATTGTACACACCATGTCCATCCTATGGATGATAATGGCTAGTTTATTGTACACACCATGTCCATCCTATGGATGGTAATGGCTAGTTTATTGTACACACCATGTCTATCCTATGGATGATAATGGCTAGTTTATTGTACACACCATGTCCATCCTATGGATGGTAATGGCTAGTTTATTGTACACACCATGTCCATCCTATGGATGGTAATGGCTAGTTTATTGTACACACCATGTCTATCCTATGGATGATAATGGCTAGTTTATTGTACACACCATGTCTATCCTATGGATGATAATGGCTAGTTTATTGTACACACCATGTCCATCCTATGGATGGTAATGGCTAGTTTATTGTACACACCATGTCCATCCTATGGATGGTAATGGCTAGTTTATTGTACACACCATGTCTATCCTATGGATGATAATGGCTAGTTTATTGTACACACCATGTCCATCCTATGGATGATAATGGCTAGTTTATTGTACACACCATGTCTATCCTATGGATGATAATGGCTAGTTTATTGTACACACCATGTCTATCCTATGGATGATAATGGCTAGTTTATTGTACACACCATGTCTATCCTATGGATGATAATGGCTAGTTTATTGTACACACCATGTCCATCCTATGGATGATAATGGCTAGTTTATTGTACACACCATGTCTATCCTATGGATGATAATGGCTAGTTTATTGTACACACCATGTCCATCCTATGGATGGTAATGGCTAGTTTATTGTACACACCATGTCCATCCTATGGATGGTAATGGCTAGTTTATTGTACACACCATGTCCATCCTATGGATGGTAATGGCTAGTTTATTGTACACACCATGTCTATCCTATGGATGGTAATGGCTAGTTTATTGTACACACCATGTCTATCCTATGGATGGTAATGGCTAGTTTATTGTACACACCATGTCCATCCTATGGATGGTAATGGCTAGTTTATTGTACACACCATGTCTATCCTATGGATGGTAATGGCTAGTTTATTGTACACACCATGTCCATCCTATGGATGGTAATGGCTAGTTTATTGTACACACCATGTCTATCCTATGGATGGTAATGGCTAGTTTATTGTACACACCATGTCTATCCTATGGATGGTAATGGCTAGTTTATTGTACACACCATGTCCATCCTATGGATGGTAATGGCTAGTTTATTGTACACACCATGTCTATCCTATGGATGGTAATGGCTAGTTTATTGTACACACCATGTCTATCCTATGGATGGTAATGGCTAGTTTATTGTACACACCATGTCTATCCTATGGATGGTAATGGCTAGTTTATTGTACACACCATGTCTATCCTATGGATGGTAATGGATAAGGATACACAAAGACCTAAGAACTAGGCCCTACAAGGGGTAACAGAAATACATCTTGATTTAATCTACGATTGTCTTATTTGTTACAAGCAAATTTGAGATATTTGCTTAATATATCTGGTATCTTATTTTCATTAATAAGATGCCTTGACATATCACCTAGGTTGTTATACTATCTCTATATTCCTCAGTAAGTCGACAATTAAGGACATTGTGTTGAAGATAGTTACCATAAGACTGACCATATACCTAGCTTTAGTTTGACTATCATCTGTACTCACCTAATTGTGGTTGCAGGGGTCGATACTCAGCTCCTGGACCCGCCTCTTCAATGTGTTTACTAAATTGCAAAAAATACCTGGAAGGAAGCCTAAGCCTGGCTATTACAACACTGGTCAGTCCGTGTGTCTGCCAAACTCTGCAGGTGCTCCATAAATGTACTTATCTACGTTCGTGTTATCATAGTTGGTTCCAGATCTACTCAGGTTTCTAACTGCATTTCTATAACATTCAGTTTCATTATCTACTTCTCTCCTAATATTATTCCTAATGCTAGACACAGATACACCAAAGTTATATTCTACATTTTCCTTCAGGGTACTTTGGCTAACTTATCAACTTTACCACGAAGTAATCCAATGTGCGATGGAATCCACAAACAATTGTACATTAATTCCCTTTTCCCGGATTTTTGAGTAACTATATTTGGCTTCTCCAGTGAGCACGTTGTTAGAGTCATTATGTGAGTCAGTAGCCTTCAGTGACGACGTAGAGTCAGTAGCCTTCAGTGACGACGTAGAGTCAGTAGCCTTCAGTGACGACGTAGAGTCAGTAGCCTTCAGTGACGACGTAGAGTCAGTAGCTTTCAGTGACGACGTAGAGTCAGTAGCCTTCAGTGACGACGTAGAGTCAGTAGCCTTCAGTGACGACGTAGAGTCAGTAGCCTTCAGTGACGACGTAGAGTCAGTAGCCTTCAGTGACGACGTAGAGTCAGTAGCCTTCAGTGACGACGTAGAGTCAGTAGCCTTCATTGACGACGTAGAGTCAGTAGCCTTCAGTGACGACGTACAGTCAGTAGCCTTCAGTGACGACGTACAGTCAGTAGCCTTCAGTGACGACGTAGAGTCAGTAGCCTTCAGTGACGACGTAGAGTCAGTAGCCTTCAGTGACGACGTAGAGTCAGTAGCCTTCAGTGACGACGTAGAGTCAGTAGCCTCAGTGACGACGTAGAGTCAGTAGCCTTCAGTGACGACGTAGAGTCAGTAGCCTCCAGTGACGACGTAGAGTCAGTAGCCTTCAGTGACGACGTAGAGTCAGTAGCCTTCAGTGACGACGTAGAGTCAGTAGCCTTCAGTGACGACGTACAGTCAGTAGCCTTCAGTGACGACGTACAGTCAGTAGCCTTCAGTGACGACGTAGAGTCAGTAGCCTTCAGTGACGACGTAGAGTCAGTAGCCTTCAGTGACGACGTAGAGTCAGTAGCCTTCAGTGACGACGTAGAGTCAGTAGCCTCCAGTGACGACGTAGAGTCAGTAGCCTTCAGTGACGACGTAGAGTCAGTAGCCTTCAGTGACGACGTAGAGTCAGTAGCCTTCAGTGACGACGTAGAGTCAGTAGCCTTCAGTGACGACGTAGAGTCAGTAGCCTTCAGTGACGACGTAGAGTCAGTAGCCTTCAGTGACGACGTAGAGTCAGTAGCCTTCAGTGACGACGTAGAGTCAGTAGCCTTCAGTGACGACGTAGAGTCAGTAGCCTTCAGTGACGACGTAGAGTCAGTAGCCTTCAGTGACGACGTAGAGTCAGTAGCCTCCAGTGACGACGTAGAGTCAGTAGCCTTCAGTGACGACGTAGAGTCAGTAGCCTTCAGTGACGACGTAGAGTCAGTAGCCTCCAGTGACGACGTAGAGTCAGTAGCCTTCAGTGACGACGTAGAGTCAGTAGCCTTCAGTGACGACGTAGAGTCAGTAGCCTTCAGTGACGACGTAGAGTCAGTAGCCTTCAGTGACGACGTAGAGTCAGTAATAATCATAAGAGTCAGACTTATAAGTTAACTTTAGTGCCAGTAAGATGACAAACATTCAGTCTGTAGTGTAGACGCCCAATTGTTAATTCTTATGAATAAGTTAACCTCGCCTTCACAACACCCGCACTTTCACAACACTATCACATTCACAACACCCTCACTTTCACAACATTATCACTTTCACAACACCCTCACTTTCACAACACTATCACCTTCACAACACCCTCACTTTCACAACACTATCACCTTCACAACACCCTCACTTTCACAACACTATCACCTTCACAACACTATCACCTTCACAACACCCTCGCTTTCACAACACTATCACCTTCACAACACCCTCGCTTTCACAACACTATCACCTTCACAACACCCTCACTTTCACAACACTATCACCTTCACAACACTATCACCTTCACAACACCCTCGCTTTCACAACACTATCACTTCACAACACCCTCGCTTTCACAACACTATCACCTTCACAACACCCGCACTTTCACAACACTATCACCTTCACAACACCCTCACTTTCACAACAATATCACCTTCACAACACCCATACTTTCACAACACTATCACATTCACAACACCCTCACTGTCACAACATTATCACCTTCACAACAACCTCACTTTCACAACACTATCACCTTCACAACACCCTCACTTTCACAACACTATCACTTCACAACACCCTCACTTTCACAACACTATCACCTTCACAACACTATCACCTTCACAACACCCTCGCTTTCACAACACTATCACCTTCACAACACCCTCGCTTTCACAACACTATCACCTTCACAACACCCGCACTTTCACAACACTATCACCTTCACAACACCCTCACTTTCACAACAATATCACCTTCACAACACCCATACTTTCACAACACTATCACATTCACAACACCCTCACTGTCACAACATTATCACCTTCACAACAACCTCACTTTCACAACACTATCACCTTCACAACACCCTCACTTTCACAACACTATCACCTTCACAACACCCTCACTTTCACAACACTATCAACTTCACAACACCCGCACTTTCACAACACTATCACCTTCACAACACCCTCACTTTCACAACACTATCAACTTCATAACACCCGCACTTTCACAACACTATCACCTTCACAACACCCTCACTTTCACAACACTATCACCTTCACAACA